CCCTTAGCCATAAGCCAGCCCTGGATCATGGACATATCGAGGAAGCCTCTAGACTTGAACCAGAAACCTTCCCATACAGGTCAGCATTGTAGACATTCATGAGTTACCACTGCCTCTTGCTCTGGGCCCAAGGAGATAGGCTTTGTTTGTATTTTTTAAAGATTTATTCATTCATTTTAATTATTATTATTTTTTTTCATTTTGAAGAAAGAGAGGCAGAGAGAGAAAGAGAGAGAGAGAAAGTGAGAAAGCAAGCCGCCAGGTCTGAGACGCAAACTGCAGTAGGCCATTTGGGAGTCCAGTACCTTAACCACTGGGCCACCTGCCAGCCCCGGAGATAAGGTCTTTGAGGAAGGAATTAAGATGAAATGGGAGTACACAGGTAGGGCCTCCTTATAAGAAGAGGATAAGACATCAGATGTCTTTGTCTCTGTCTGTCCCCACGTGCACGGAGGAGAGGTCATGGAGGGCACCGTGACTAGGCACCCTCTGCAAGCCAGGACACCTGGCCCTGCCAGCACCTTGATCTTGCACTTCCAGCTGCCAGAACGGTGGGAAAAGAGACATCTGCTTAAGCCCTCAACTGCCTTATGGCGTTTATGAGGGCAGCCTGAGAAGGCCGAGCGCCAGGGAGGCATGATGGCTCTCGGCAAGGAAGAAATCATTCACAGCTCAGAGCACCCAGACTTGAGGCTTCCAGCCCCAGGAAGTGAGAAAATGCCGCTGATTGTTCCATTTGCCTGGTGCTGTTGGGTGTGCGACACTTCGGACCAGTGCTTTCAAAATGTGGGTTTTGGGGCCGACAGGTGGGATGGTGGTTAAGGTGCTGGACTCCCACATGGCCGACTGTGGTGTGAGTCCCGGACCTGGCAGCTTTCTTTCTCACGTTCCCTTTTTCTCTTTCTCTGGTCAGATTTAAAAGTAAATAATAACAAATAAAATAAAATAAATAATGCCTTTTTAAAAAAAGTTGATTTCAACCTACCAGTGGGTTAAGAAAGTCTCCCAGTAGGGTCAAGAGCAGCAGTTTAAAAGAAATAGCATTGAACATATCGGAGTGTATCAAACAGTAAGAGGGAGTGTTGTTTTGTGAGTCATTTCAAATGGACCTAGATGTGTTTGGGAATTCAGAATGTTTAGTCTACTAGAAAAGAATGCAGAGACATACTGTTTTTTTGTTTTTGTTTTTCTTTTAGGTTTTTGCCATAGGGTGCATGAGCTCGACAGAGAGAAGGAAAGTGAAAAATCACCTCCCAGAGAGAATGCCCATGCTGCAATCCCTTCTCTTTCATTCTCTTCTTGGGATTTTGGGCATGTACGCACACATACCTGGCTTGATTTTCAACCCACCCCGTCCAGAGCGTGAATCATGGTCAGCCATGGCCGAGCCCAGTGCCTTAGCCACAGCGCCACCTGCTGGCCCCAATGCAATATTGCTTACCACTCCCAGCAGGAACCTGCAATCAGTTGCACTCATGTTTGTTGTTGTTTGTTTCTAGTTGGTGGAGGGTGCATGCACTCATCAGAGAGAAATAGGGAGGGAGAAAGGAAACACCTCCCAGTGGGGTGTGTTAACACCACCATCCCTTCTCCACTTTCCCATCCTGTTGGAATTTGGGTTAGGCGGACACATGTGGCCACATTTCTCAAGCGTCTAGGGCTAAGATTTGAGCTGCAGTCGGCCATGGGGGATCTGGCTCCCCTAACCACTAGGCCATGGGGCCGCCTAAGCATTTGTGTTTGACAGTGAAACAAATGAATGCTCGCATTAAATGAGCTCAATGATGTAACGACTGCAAACAGTCTCAGGTCAGTTCAGGGCAGGACCGCTGCCCCGATGAGTTACCCCAGGAGTAACTGCAGTAGGACGGGGCCAGGATATATCTGCATGTGCACCAGGGCGTGCTGTAGGAGTTTCCTGCTGTGGCACACAGGCGGGCTCTCTTCACAGTCCACAGAGAGGGAAATATGCAGACAGGAGCGGTGACTGCCCTCAGTCACTGAACTCAATGCTCAGGATCTGGGGGCCAGGGAGCGGCACAGGGTGAACACGACCACTGCGAGGCTGACCCGCTCGGGAAGGCCCCATCTCAAGTCTGGAGCCCTCCCTGAGTACACTGGGCACGCACGTGCCCGGGATCTGCGGCCGGGGATGATGCTGTCGGGGCCCTGTTGAGAGTGCTGTCTCTCTCTCTGTCGCTCTCTCTGCCTCTCTCTCACACACTCTCATTAAATAAATAAATAAGAAAGCTCAGGATTCAAATCCAAGGCTACTGAGGATGTTTTTGGTATTACTTTGAAGACTCCTTATGTCTAAAAATTCCCATGATTTCCATATTGTACCCTGCAGTATACCTGACATAATATTTAGTAGAGATGAAATATGTTGTTTTTCAAGTTTAAAAATTACATTTCCAACTACACACCACTGAATGAAACTATCCGAGCAAGGGGAATCCCTCCTGCTAACCATGGGTGCTCTAAGGCGGGCAGGACAGGGGGACCCTGCAGGTGGGTGGAGGCGGGGTCCTGGCTCTGTCCCGGTGATCTTCAGGTATAATCTGTCTTCCTCTGCGGTCTTGAGCTCACAGCTCCCCGCTGGCATCACTGAGCCCACGCTGGCCCATGTATGAGGAGGAGATGGTCTGGCCTCTGAGGATTTCCTCCTCAGGACCCCGGTGGCTCTCACCCCTCGCCCCCTAAGGGTTCAGGGACCTCCTGCTTCTCCCTTCCCTCCCCTCCCTTATTCCTCACCCAGACTAAGTACAGCGGTTTGCTCCTAGGCTGTCTGCTCCTCGGATGTGAGTTGGTGGCCAAGGCAATTCGTGGTTCTGGGAAAACAGAACTTAAGGAAGCGTAGTGTTGACTTGCGTGAGTGGAGGCTTGTTTTGTTCATTTTCTACTTCCTTCTTCACTAAAAGGAAGGAGGGAACCCACAGCACCAAAACTGTGTATTTACCCACAGGTGTGGGGGTCTCCGCAGGGGCCTTTGCGCTCATCTGAATCGTCGCTGCCTGTGGCAGTCCCACCTGGTAAGCAGGTGCTTGTCATTGACGGGACAGCTGCCGGCAGGGTGTCCCCACCTGGAATTCGCAGGTTCCAGGGGGAGGGGACGAGAACCAGCACTTGGGAGCACCTACCACATGGCCAGGCTGCGAACCCGTGTTCCACTGACCCTGGTGAGCACAGGGAGAAACACCTCTCGTGTGCCAGGTGAAGGGGTGAGGCATGCCAGGTTACACAGGTGGGGGGCGAAGGCCACACTGATCAGTTCAGTGGACTCTGGTCACCCCTGCTGAGTCACTCAGAGCGGTTGGGCCGGCCACAGGGCAGAGCTGGGGGAACTCGCTGCCTCTGCTGGGGACACCCAGGTCCCTAGGAACAGAGGAAGAGATGAGGCCAAGAGAGCCTCAGGTGTCTGGTTTACCTGCTCTCCCCCCATCTCCCACTTCCTGTGCCCTCCTCTCCTCCACCTGCCCCAACTGTCCCCCCTTCCCCATGGCTGTCTTGGCCCCACCTGAGTCATTTCCAGGCAGCCATGGCAGTGAGGACGTGAGCACGTGGCCATGTCACCCCCGGAGGTCAGGAAGGAGATGCCCCACGAGCCCTGGGTTGGGAGACTGCCCTTGGCCTCTCTTGGGGCTCGAGAGACACTCATCAGTCCTTTTTCAGCTTGATCCCTCCACAGGGCGACGAGCTATGGAGGTGCCGCTGTCTAGGTGTTCTAGACCCGAGCAGAACAGGCCAGAGAAGAGGACGGGTGGCTACCTGGGCAGGCCTCGCGGGCTTCTCGGCTCATGGTCCCAGCCGCGGTGTCTCCCAGAGCTTTTCCTTACGGCTCCCCAGTCCGCCTTCAGGCTGGAAGATTTCCTTTGCCCTTGGGGAGGAGAAAGCAAATGGCGGGGTTGAATGTGGGCCAGCTGTGGCCAGAGGGGGCGGCAAGGGGCCAGGTCCCAGCGGTTCCCTTGGGATATGGCAGCAAAGGCCCAGAGAGAATTAACCCCAGTGTGTCTCCTGAGCTCTGCCACGTGCTGTTTAAAGCAAGTTACTCACCTCACCCCAGCCCGCTCTGCCCCCTCTACCCCTCACCTCACCCCAGCCCTCTCTGCCCCCTCTACCCCTCACCTCACCCCAGCCCTCTCTGCCCCCTCTACCCCTCCCCCCACCCCCGCCCTCTCTGCCCCCCCCTCCC